TTCTGTAACTGTCAGAACAGACATCCTACCCCCAAAATGGGTCCTCTCCTCAAAAATAATTGGAGAAGACTGCTTAAGCAGAACAGGCTCTGCTTACACTCAATGGGTAGGAAAAACTCCTTGCAAAAGAATATTATACTGGAATTCAACCCACCAATCCTAGTGACCAACAAGGTCTGTTTGGTATTGGGCACCTGCTTATGCAACTAAATCTTCTCAATGTACTTTTCTCACCCAAACTATAAGTAACTGTACAGTACTATCCCCTGTACAAGCTAACCTGTTTCAAGGATCCCTGTTATAAGTTAAAGCTGGACTTATAAATTCAGAACTGTCCTCTGTAAATCCAGACCTCTGGGAAGCCCCCAAAGGGCTATTTTAGATATATGAAAAGGTTGCATATACCCAACTCCCAGCACTGTGGAAAGGCACGTGTACCATAGGAATAATCCAGCCAGGATTTTTCCTTCTGCCTAACCCAAAGGGAGATGAACTGGACATCCCCTTTTATGAGAGCCTTAAACCTCAGGATGCTCGATCTCTTGATCAAACTCTTAGTATAGGAAGGACCCAGGTTTGGAAAGATGATGAATGGCCACCCCAGAGAATTATAAATACTTAATGGCCCAGCCATGTGAGCACAAGATGGAAGTTGGGGATACCACTCACTTATATATATGTTAATTCACATTATCAGGTTACAAGCTGTCTTGGAAATTATAACTAATCAAACAACCACAGCTTTTGAGTTTGCTGCTCAACTATAAGCCCAAATGTGCGCCACCATTTATCAGAACTGCTTAGCTTTGGACTACCTGCTAGCAGAAGAAGGGGGAGTATGTGGTAAATTTAATACCTCTGACTATTGTTTGCAAATAGATGATAATAGTAAAGCCTATAACTGATATAGCCACCAATATTAAAAAGCTTCCACGGCCCAGTACAAAAACGGCCTGGCATAAAAATTGACAATTGGTTTGAAAACATGTTCTCGTGTCTGGGGGGATTTAAGTACATTACTGAATCTGCAATCCTATTGTGAGATCCTGTCTTATCCTCCCTTGCATAGCCCCAGTAATTATGAACTCCACCTCTAAGTTTGTGGAAACAGTTGTTGAGCGAAAAATTGTGGCCCACGTAATGTTAATGCACCAAATTGAAGATGATGCTCTCTAACCCATGAAGTGTCAAACATCAAAGGGGGAAATGTGGCAGAGAGGGGCTAAAAACAGTTAAAATTATTCCTTTTTTAAAAACCAACCTGCAAGCTCCAAACCTGCTAGATATGGCATGTGAGAAAACCAAATAGCCACAAGCCATTTTCCTGTAAGTGCAAGATAGTAATCATTTCACAACCCCCACATCTTTTCTTTGTGAAGTTATCAGTTTACAACTCCTGCTTGTCATGTATATCCTAGAAACAATTTGTTCTTTGAAAATATGGTTTTGCTAAATACTACTTCACAAATTCCAAAGAAAAATGTATAGCCATACAACCCAACCCCTCCCTTACCTAAACTAACACATAAAACCCCTCTCCTCTTTCTCTGGGTGGTTCAACCTTGGAGCATTAGCTCACTGAATCGCGCCAGTGCTAATAAAATGCTGCTTCCTAAAATAGCCTCGGTGTCATGGTCTCTCTGTTTTCCCTCAACAGTAAGCTATCTCAATGATCTGTTCTCAATAATCCAGGTAATATTCAAGTGCAGTACTTTCTTAATTAGCACATTGGAGAGTCCTAACACAGTAGGGGCTAATCTGGGGACATTTTGTGAGTTTGACAAAAACGGTGAATAATATTTTTAGTATACCAAGATAATATTAGTAAAACTGCGGTAACAGAAAAAATATGTTGTCTTTACTGCATATAACCTTCTATGCAACCACCCCCCCAAGCCATTATGGCATGGGGTGCTGTATAACTCAGTAAATGGTCAAGGACCACATATGTGGGCAAGAATGTGGTCTTCTTTTGTGTTGTTTGCACCATCACAGCAATGCTACCGAATCTTCCATGAGCATATCCTTATGTCTACTTGTATCCTTCAACTGAAAGGAGAAGATATTGACTAATCATCCTACTCCAAAAAAAAAAAAAAAGATGCATTTTTCACAGAGAACTGTGATATTTTTTCAAGATCTATAAGAAATCTTGGGTTCTAGATATTTCCAAATAATTCTGATTATATTGCCCCTTTAAATTAATCTGTAGCTGAAATTAAATCTCTTTTGTAAGCCATAGGGTATAATTGAGTCACAATTCAGCTTTTATGATTGCCTTACATCTATTCATAGCAAGTTTTTATATTTATACTAAGACAAAAACCTATCAATTTAATTGGTTAAGTCAATTCAGAGAACACAATAGTCTGAAGTGTTGGATGAGTATTCTTTTATATTTGCCTTTGCCTTTGGGTAGATTGAACAACAGACTAATTGATTCTCATCCCCCAAGTTTAAACCTTTTGTACTGACTTTGAATGAGACATAATTTTCCATTGTATCTTTTAAACAGCCAACTTGCTTTATTATTGCTTGTTGAAAGGAGATACCTATAGAATCCTAGAAGAAACTTAGCTTATTCTTAGTTTTGTCTTTTTACTTCAGCATAGCCATTACTGCAGGCCAAGTGGCAGCCTATCCCACCCTCTTGGCAAATCTCCATCAGATGCAAGACCAGGACAGCCCAACCTTTCAATTCATGATTTAGCATAATAATCTATAGTAAACTTTCAGGTTCCTTGTCAAGGCAGAAGGTCAAAGCCATAGAAGTGATAATAAGACCATCTTTGGTCAAGGAGTTTGCGGATTGCAAATGTCAAATCTCCAAGTTAACCTAATCAGTCCTTTGTGATCTATGTGATAGACCTCACCATGGTAGCAATCATGTCACTCACCCACTAACCCACTACCCTTTGTGATAACTTGGAGCAGACCACAACCCAATCACCTTAATGATCTTCCCCCATCAAGGGGAATGGTTAAAAGGATTCAACCATAAGCAGACATTGGCCATTGCCTTGCTAGACTCTGGTGTGGCCATGTGCTCTTTGAGCCATGAGTGTTGCCATGCTGCCTGGCTTTGGCCCCCTCCCTGATGTTGGGAAGGTAAATCTTCTCTTTCTCTCTCTCTCACTAATTTACTTTAAATAAACTATATTTTCTAATCTAACTTCTTTGCAATTCTCTGCACCTTTCATGTGGTATTGGATTGCACCCCAGACACTCACACCCCCAGCTTCCCTGACGTAACATTTGGAGGTCCCGCTGGGAAAGTGACCCTAACATATTTTGATAGCCCAGCGAGACAATCCTAACATTTCTGGAGGTTCCACCAAGAACTGCTGCACTCTCTCCTCCCCAAAAGCCCTTAAATATACCCATTTTGTGGCCCTTCGAGGCCTCTGCATGTCAGTCCCCTATCCAATTTGTGAAAGGTGAATAATAAACTTTACTTCTTTCTTACTTAGTTGTAATCTTCCATTATTCCCACTGTCCCAGCACTGTCTCTGGCCCACCTTGCCCCAGCTGACCCTTTCACTTGCTTTACATTTGACCTTCTCAGCTTTCTTGAATCAAAAGTGCTCAGTAATAGAAATAAGAGTAGACCTGGGATCACAAGATCAAGGGCTAACTACTAGTTCCTCTATAATCCATGAGTCAACTTCATTTGTAAAATGTTAACTTCATAGATCAGCTCAAACACTGCTCAGATATTGGTAAGTGCTATTATTCTCCCCAAATAATTGATCAAAGCACTTCTCTGTGCTGCTTCAAAGAGGAGATAACAGAACTATATTCATTGTTTCTGGAAAATAGAGAAACATTACATTGCAACACTTTCAGCTTTATGTACTCTTTTCAAAAACATCTCATAGCTGATATTTTGAGATCAATTTCACTCATGTGAAAGCAGGAGAAACAGTAACTACAATGAGATATCCATGTGAAGTCTCTGGCCAGATATAAGTTTGAGAAAGAGACTCTGTCTCACTTGACTTTCCTTTCAGTGGATTTATTTATTTAAAATAATTTATTTCAGAAACAAAATTTTGTCATTTTTCCCATTGAGAATTTTTCAAATTCTGTTCCATAGTAGAGCTATTTCTTGATGCTCCTCTAAGAGGCCTTTTGTATTTAAATGGTTTTGAAATGCTGATGCTCTGCATTCCTTCTAGGAGACTGAATGTGCACCTCAGCATAGTAAATAAACCCTGCAGTAAATAAACCTGTTGAATACAAGGCTTCTTTTCCCTCCGTTTACTTGAGCACAATACATGTACCCTAAGAACATCCTATAGGGTAATATCCTATAGAAAAGTATTTCATTGACCACTAGTCAGGGAAATATAGCAGTATGCCTGATAACTATAAGGTTTAGACACAGTTAATCCACAAATCTGGAAGTATGACGCTCAAGGTGCAAGTTACAGTGTTCTAAGTCTCATAGATGAGGAAATTGGGGTTTTACCTAATAATTTATGATGAACCTTGTCCAATCTGGCTTCTCTGCTTCCTGGGTGGGTGATTAAGGCATATATTAAAACTGCTCACTGATATTGCAAGTTTTCCTTCTTCTGGGCATATGTATGATGGCACATTCCTACCCCCTGGGGTTAAGTGTGCCATGTGACTTATCTTGACCAATGAAGTCTGAAAAGACCTGACGTGTACAAGTTATGGGTAGAAGTTTCAAGAGCTGAGTATCATTCTCCATTTCCACCCTTTCCTTGTCATTATCACTAGTGAGATCCCAGACTGAAAGCCATGTACTTGAGTGAAGACAATATGGCACAGACACTTCTTTTTTCCAAACGTGCACACCAACCTGCATCAGACACATAGAATGATCAAGAAACAAATCTCTGCTCTAAATCACTGCAATAGAGGGGTTGAATGCTACTGCACACAATCCCCCCGCCCATCTGGTTTAATGCTGAGGCCTACCTGACCACTGATTGCCATTACTGAGATGCAAATGCCACAGGGTCCTCACTTACCATACAGGTCAGGATTCTCAACATCCATTCGGTTCTTTTGAGCTTCAAGAAAAACACGGATGTTGATTCCTCTGGCTGCTGAGTTACAACTAAGGAATCTGACTGGGATTTGTGTACAGATGTCTGGCTCATCAGCGCCAAACCCCAGATCTAAGAGAATCTCCACTGGATCGTCTTCCCAAAATTCCAGCCATTCAGGAATGCTGTGGAAAAAATATGAATATCTTTATCCAGTAACAGTTAACTCAAAGCCATTTTTTGTCCAGTCACCTCAAACACCCAATCTTCCAAATGCTGAGTAAAAAAGGTACCTGACTAGACAAATTTGCATTTGCTAGAGCTCATATACACTTACCTAAAAGACAGTCTGACACCCCCACTCAAGGACTGTTTGCCTAGACTTTACATCCAATACTATAACTTCATTTAATTGGCTTTTCATTTCACAATAGGCAAATGTTAAATGAGATAAGGCAAGGGACAGAAGTCAGTCAGAGGCAGTGTACTGACAATCACAAAGAAGTGGTTATTGAAGGCAAAAAAGGAAACATGAAAAAAAAACTTTAAAAAGTAGACTCAAAGAAGGATATTTTTAAAGCGTATTCATCCAGGGCATCCTCAGCTACATAAATCTGTCAAGGATATCATCAAATGTAGAATACGAGGACTAATGATTACAACTAATTGATTCTAAGTCCCTGTAGGTAGAATTAAAATATATTCTGTATTTTTTTGGACTTGACTGAGAAACAAAAAAATGCTTGTATCAAATTGTTCTAGTCCTCTTTGACACTTAAAGTGATAAGTATCAGTTATCTGAAAATTATATTTATATATGCCAAGTTACTTCTGAGCTTCTGGGTTACTATCCTGTGGATCTTTTCATAGACTCTATGGGAATCAGAACTTTAATAAGGTTTTACTAGGTTTGTTCAGCTCTTTTGTTAAAGTTTCTGTTTGCCTTTTCTTTTTGTGTAACACTAATGAGCTATTTGAGATATTTTAGATACTTTTACTTCCTGACGTCCTTATTTATTGGATTAATTACAGTTCATTAATTTAGTCATTCACACATTCAACAACAACTACCTATCATCTCACTGGGCAGGCCCATTTACCAGACACCACCAGCATCACCTTTCACACTTTCTTTTCTTAAAAAATTAATTGATTTATTTTTGATTAACAAACAATAATTATGGACATTTATGAGGTACCATGTGATGTTTTGATCCATGTATACACTGTAGAAAGATTCAATCAAGCTAATTAACATATTCACCATCTTACCATCTTACATTTTTGTGATGAGAACAGAAATCTACTCTTTTAGCAATTCTGAAATACACAATAAGTTATTAACTATGGTCACCATGTAGTACAATAGATTTACTAAAGTTTATAATGTAAAGTAGAGGTAGTTCAGTTTGGATTTCTTAATCATTGAAATTAACTGGAGAACCGGGAGTGCCAATCACTTGATTAAATTGACACAGACACCTTAACATGAAAAAGGTTCAAGGTAGAAAACAATTCTGGTGAGAAATCTAAATTGTGCATGAAAGATATCATCTATTATCATCTATTGGATTAATGTTTATCCTACCCATTTATACAAATTTTGGAGAATATCTGTCATGTTCTAGGCTCTATGCTAGGTAACCATGTCACAAAAATGAACAAACATAGTCCCAAACATAGTCCCAAACAAACAAAGGCTTCAGTCTTATCGATTGATTTGTCATTTAACATAGTTTTATATCATTATAAAAATATCATGAACTTCTAAAGTTATATTTAATTGTTCAAGAACTACAGAAATATATTCATCTCGCTAAAAAATTAAAACATTACACATAAGGCTCTCTCTCTCCTTAGCTCCCACCAATCCTGACCCCTTTCCTGCTAAATCTATGTGTATCCTTGCAGATATTTTCCTATGTTGTTATATACATGCTTTACAGACTTCATGTCGCATCTTACTTTGCTTTTCCCCCTTAAAATGTGGCTTGCAGTGGCTCAAGCCTGTAATCCCAGCACTTTGGGAGGCCAAGGTAAGAGGATTGCCTGAACCCATGGGTTTGAGAACAGCCTGGGCAACTTGGCGAGACCTCATCTCTACAATAAATCAAAAAATTAGCAGGGTTTTGTAGTGCGCGCCTGGATTTCCGGCCACTTGGAAGGCTGAGGCAGAAGGATTGCCGGAGTCCAGCAGGTCGAGGCTGGGGTAGCTGTGAGTGTGCCACAGAACTCCAACCTGGGCTATGGAGTGAGACTCCAACTCAAAAATATATATATGTGACTTGATGTTTCTAAGTTAGTATGTATATCTCTGCCTATACATGTATGGCATTCTATAAAACGAATGAGCCAATTGCTTATTTGGCCATTTCTTTGTTGATAGATACTTAATCTGTTCCAGTTTTACTAACTCTTTTATATTATCGTTGCAAGTTGGAGTTTGGAAATATTTAATTTATTCTGTCATCCATTCATTCAACAAGTTGCCTGCTTAAAATTTCATGAAATCCATTGTTGCACAGAATGATTTCTCTAGATGAAAAGTGCCTGGAAATTACATACCTTTGTGGTATACTTGCAGTAGAATGGCAAGAGTTGAAACTGGTCCCTCTGGAGAGGGTGGGAGTTTCAGAAAACTGATGCAGAGATCTAGAGTTGGGAAAATACCAACAATGAGATGCATTGATTTAGATAGCCCCCTGGAAAGTCCTTAAGAATCTTTTCCTTCCAGAACAAACATTTGCATTTCCTCTTAGTCTAATAATCCCATAATGACCACGCCTTTGAAGAAGAGTAAGCTCACAACAGAGGAGTTGCTCCTCTTTTTGAGAGTGTTGTGTTACAGAAGGTGTGAGAATTTAAGTGTTAGGTGCCTGCTAGTGTTCATTATAAAGGTGGCAGAATGTCTCACTTTTGACAGATGGCAAATCATTGGGGAACCTTTCAGGAACACAGCTTTGCTTTGCTAGGCACCAACTTTTGGGAAGAAGCTAAAATTATGTGATAAAAGAAGTACAGCGAGCAGTCACTGAAGCGTCGCCACGTTAATTCTCATAATAGTGAAGGACTTCATATCGTATGGTTAATGATCTGTAAGTGCTCTCTCCTGGGCTCCTGCAGCTATCCACATGCAACAGTAAACTTCTTTCCTACTGGAACAATGAGCATCACTCTCTCCAATAGGCCTCATTACAATCACTAGAAAGCGCTTCTGAAGAGAATAGAACCCCGTTATAATATAGTTCAATTTTATACAGCTTAGCTATACTATGGATCATATTTACTAGCCCCCACCAATAGCCAGTGGTCATAAAACTAGTCTATTAAAGAATACAATGCAAATATCAACGTTCCAAGGAGACTTACTTGGATGACTGAGATTGCCTTAGTCCTATCCACAATTAGTAAGAATAGCTGGGCTCTGCCTCTTCTTTAATTGTTTCTCTTCATTAAGGCTGAAAATGTGTGTGTCTCTGTATCCAAAAAACTCTGGTGTTAATAGACAGTTGAGCTTTCTGGGAGCCTTAAGGAGAGGAAGAAGATACTTTTTCGCCTATTGTCTCCCCTCAGTTTGTATCTGGTCTGCCAGAATTTATTTTTCATTCTAGGTTTGAGGGTCACACTGTATTCTGTAATGTTAACAGAGTCACCCAGAAGCAGCCCTGGCCTTGGATCCAGGAGCATCTACATGTCGTCACTGTTCTCATGAAGCCACGGAGCACAAGTGTTCACTAGACCTGGCTCTCTTTCTCTTCTTCGACAAAATGAGAGCTGCCCGAGAGATTTTTGTCATCCCTTATAACTCTACAATTCTACAAGTAGCAAAAACAACCAATCCTGTAAGTGGGAGAGACTACGATGAACAGAATTTTAGGTGTGAATTGATAGGAGTAGAAGGAAGACAGCACTACTTATTTGGTTTTCAACTAGTTGGAATTATTCTGAATACACAAGGATGACAAAAACACGGAAATCAGAGGTCCTAATTTCAAAGAACTCATTCTGTTCCAGTGGCTCTTAAACTAGAGCATGCCTCAAAAAATCACCTGAAGGACTTGCAAAAATATAGATTTCCAGACCTCCTTCCAGATTTTCTGTTCAGTAGGTCTGGAGGCTTGGGAGTTTGCATTTCTATTATGTTCTCAGGTGATACTGATGCTGTAGTTCTGAGCATCACTCTTTGAGACCTAGTCTCCCCTTGTATTTAGAGATTCTCACTGCTTTCTACATAACATTGGAAAAAGTACATAGTATTGCCCAGTAAATAGGATGATAATTAATAACACTGGCAAAATGAAAATATGAATGCAACTACTTTATGAAAAGGTTTTTATGAACATTTATATTATAATAGAATATAATTTATGCAAATGTTCTTATTAAATTTCCTCAAGTCAGCATTTGTTGATTTAATTTACTCACACTTTTATGACATGTAAGAAACCTCTATTACTCTCAAAGAAGTTGAAGACATTCTAAGCACTGTGGTTAACCTACTGACCTTCCACAAGGATCCAAGATCTGTGGCATATTAAAAAATTTCTCTACTTCTATTTAATTTACCAAAGATATGGCTGTAAAACTGGCATGAAGTAACACTGATTCTGCTACCTACCTCATGTAGTCTTTCACAGTCATTTGAACCATTCCTTGTTCACTCAAAGAAACTGCAACAACAAAAAAAGTAGAGGTGAACTTAATTTCCTCTTATCTCACGGAAGACTTTCTTATCTCTACATGAACATAGAACTGAATTTCCATATCCGGGGTTGCATAGGCATGAAAAGCAAGGCATCTCTGAAGTGAACAAGATAGCATATAATTAATGGCTAAATTGTGTGACAAGCACTTGAAGAAAATGTACTTGCTCAATGAAGAGGGAAATCAGTGGTAAATGGAGCAGTCAGCAAAAGGTTTCATAGAATAATTGGTACTTTTCATTGATTTTTAAGAATGGGAAGAATTTGGTGGAAAAGAGACATTGCACTTAAGGAAGAGAAAAGAAGAATCTATAGCAAGAGCAAAACATAGTGTAAGGGGTAGTCTCACTAGCTCATAGGACGTTTTGGGACACTAACGGCACATGAGGTGGAGGAGCCAGGTGTGAATAGGCAAAAAAAAAAAAAAGAAGAAGAAGAAGAAGAAGAACCCAGCATTTATTGAGCATTTTCCATTCATTTGTATCATCTAATTCTTCTTATAGCCTTATAATTAGAAACTATCCTCATTTTTCAGATTCACAGAAGTTTAGTAATAAGCCCATGATCATACAGTCAAAAGCAACAGGTCTAGGAATGTATTACTACCTTTATTCTTGATTATGGCAAAAAATAGTTACTATATATTTAGCACTGACTTTGTGCGAGGCAATGTGCTAAACATGGTAAGTGCACAATCTCTTAATTCTCACAACAAATTCATAAAATAGGTATTATTAATCTCCACTCAAGGAGGCTGTGACTGAGAGAGATTTCTCATGACCAGCTTATTTTATTTAATTTTTTAATTTTTAATTTTGAAGATATGGAGTACAATTCAGGGTTAGGTATACAAATGTTCATTATGCACGTACTCTTATTGATGAGGTGAGTCCCCCAGTCCCCGACAGTTTCCCACTACCACCAGTTCCACCCCCCTCACCTGGCAGTTTTCAACTACTGCGAATCCCTTTCTTATAGTATTATGATAATTGTTCAAGGTCCACTTATAATTGAGAGCACGTGGTACTCAGTTCTTTGTTTCTGTGATAGATCACTCTGTATTATAGATGCTAAGTCTATCCAAGTAGCTGTGAAGTTTGTAATTTTGTCCTTATTTATGGCTGCGTGATATTCCATCATGTATATGTACCACATTTTTAAAAAGTCCAGTCCTTTTTCTATGGGCAGCACAGTTAGGTTCATGTTTTTGCTATTGTAAATAATGCTGTAATAAACATGTGTGTGCGGGTATAGTTTTCATAGAGTGATTTGCATTCCTCTGGGTATATTCCTCTGTGGAAAACAGTCTGTGATTCCTAAAAGATCTAAAAATTGACCTTCCATATGATCCCCACAATCCCCCTACTGGGACTATACCTGGAGGAACTCAAATCACTCTATAAAAAAGCTACTGGCCAGTTTATTTTAATTTGTTGTTGTTTCTATAACACCACACTGCCAACAGAATGTCGTATAGCTTATTTGAAAACCAGAAAGTGGAGTTTATATGCATGTGTTGGGACACAGAGACTATGAAAGTTTTTGAGCAAACAAGTAAATGTGAGAAAGATGGTGCTGAAGGTTCAGTGCCTAATAGTGGTGCTAAAGACAAAATAGAAGAAATAAATATCAGTTGTCAGAAAGACCTTCCAGGGGCCATTGCAATATTCAGGACTGCCATATTCAGAGTAAATAAGACCCTGCATCATAATACAATATATGGCTGATATCTGCAGAAGGAAGTGTATAGAATGTGAGTAAATTCCTTAGAAGGTTCACCAGTATTCTAATTTCCTCTCACTCATGGCTTTCCTGGGTGCAAATGGATGACATATAAAACTGGTCAGTGCTAGCAACATGCACTTCTATGAGAATATGAAGGGGCTTTTTTTTTTTAATATAAGAAAGATAATACAGGTTGAAAGAAACTTTGGGAAAATAAACCTGAATATTTAAACGTATGAAAGAATGCTGAGATAATAAAGGGCTAGGATTCTTGGATTAAGAGTCTATGAATAGACTTCAGGGTGTCTGTGAACTTGTCTCTGAGTGCCATATTTTGGGGGTGGAGCTATAAATACCCATAGTTTTCAGCAGATTTTTGAAAGGCTAAGTGACCCTGTTAAATGAAAAAAGAGCACTGGTCTAGAAAGACAAAGACTGGTGAGAGAGAATAGGGAATACTTAACTAGGCCCGGAAAACATGACAGCAATTTGAAGAGGTAGTGGGAGAACAGATATAGTAAATGCCTTTACCCTACAAAACAAATGGAATTCTAGCACTACAAGAGTCAGATAGGGTGAAAAATAGAAATCCATTTTAAAGGTTTAAATACAGAGTGAGAAGATAACGGGGATGCCAAAAAAATTTAAATACATTTTAAGAAATGTTCACCAAAATCAGAAGCACCTGGATGCTGATGGTAACCACTCTGAGCACCTCTTGTAATTGCAGAAGTCAAACATGACTTGTATTCGCCATTTGTTATTGGTATACATTGAATATTATAATTTTAATACAGTTTTTTCCCTTTTTAAAATGCATATACTTTTTTTGGCGCCCTCTCTATATGGTCTCTGTGCTATCATCCCCAGTGCCACTCCCATGGCAGACATCATGAAGCAATTGCATCATTTCCTCATCACTTCTTCAGGAAAGCCCCTGCCAACTGATTGAAATTATCACATAAGATTAAGTTATTTTCCATCCTTTGTTTAGAACAAAATTCACAAGTGGGTTTTGGGGGAAAAAAAGAAAACAGATCAAATTTGGAGTACATAGCTTAACTTTAGAAGTTGATAACATGAAGATATTACATAATTGCTTCATAAAACATTCTAGGGAGCCACTACCAAAGTTGGAATATCAAAGTGAATGACATTTTTATGAAACAAATATGAGGTTTCTTAAATTTCCTATGTAACATTTGGTGACAAATATTTATGTACGTTACAATAGACAATTTGATTCAAACTTACACACCAAATCAGAAATAAACTTAGAATCAGAACTCCAGTCTTCCCCTCGCCCCATTATATCTGGTGCTTTAAAATTTTGGGTTTTGCCAGATAAATGCCACAACCATATAAAATCTTTTGGAAAATTTCACTAATTTAAATAGATTAAAATGGAGTTGTTCTGAATGGAGTGTTCTTCCATTTAGCTCTTCTTTCACCCTGTGAGGCACCTCCAGGACACAGAGGTTGAAAACTATCATCTGTTCAATACACATGTCTTCAGCTAGGTGGGCATTGCTAATCCACTGCCACTCGCTTGCTCACTGAACTCCGTCTCGGAGCGTCTCAAACTCATACAACCACTGCCTGCTGATTGAAGTTGTCACATAAGAGAAAGCCTATTTGCCACCTTATTAATCCTGTCATAGATGCAAACACAATATAATTTTTAGGCAATCATGTTGTGGTGACTTGAAGTCTTGGTGAATTAAACAGTAAGTTGCCCAACTGGAATGTCAAATAAACATTTATAATTTTAAGCAAATGTTTTCCATTTCTCCCTGCTCCCTGTCCTACCAACACACTTCTATCTATTACTTTGCATGTGACTCACAAAGCAAGTCTCCATTTTTTTCCTGGCTTAGCTCAGTTGGATGATTCTGGAGAACTTCCTAGCACCTATTCTCTTCTAAAATCTTCCACGGTTCTAGGACATTTAGCAGCACATTCTGCCAATACTGACGCTCTTACCACTGCCTCGGCCTTTTCCACTTGCCTGCTACTGCTCTGGGTTTCCTAGAATGTGTGAATAAATGTGTATATCCAGGCCAGGGATCTGGCCTTGTAGCCGCAATGAATTGATCAAACTGTCAGAGAGGAAATGATCCATTTTCAGATATTGATGAAGAGAGTTAGCTCAGCCTTGCTGAGTTTTCAAAAACCCTAGCCCGGCAGAAAATCAAGTCATCCAGAAAAAAACGAGTCTTCCCAAATCTGGAGCCCTTCACAAGATTTTAGTGACCACACAAATCTACTGTCCACTCTTCATGGACCATACCCCTCTGCCCTGTCACTGCTGTTGAGGACCAAACAACCTGGTTGCCAAGAAACCAAAAGCAACCTCCGGGAGAAAAAGAAGTCCCCAAAAGGAACACATTTCCTTGGGAATGTGCAAAGAAGTCACATATATGACACATATAAAAGCCCTACCCAGTTTTTTAGAACCAGCAGGGGAAAGGGTCTTTTCATCTTTTACGGCAAAACTAGCATCCTGTGAGGCCCAGCTGTTGTCGACGAGGGAACATCAGGCAGAATATTTGACCTCCCTCGCCTCAACCCCATCCTCACTGATGTGCAATATCTCTTTTACAATCTTTACTAGACTCCTTACACTTTTTCTTCTTGATTTTGTTTAAAATGATACAAATGTCTATCCACAGCCAATACATTCAGACATATAGCAGTCTTGGCTGCTAAACTTAGATTTTTTTCAGAACACCAAGCCAAGGAAAACTCATATGATTTAAAAAAAAATTCACAAGATAAGTCTCATTTTTAAAACTGTGATACAATTATTAAAAATTAATTAGGCTCACTGCTTGATTTGTATTTTGCATTCTGAGCTCCCTAGGTCCTGGGAGACCAAGTGGTATTTTCACAGTGTTACTGTGTGTTTACTTCCTGATCATTGTGGAAGCAGTGATTGGCCTTTCCAACATTTGGACCCACGCAGTTGAGAATCTTGTACAGGGTGGTGTGATACTAATATTGCTGGCCTGTTAGAGGCTCATTTCATTTTGGTTTTCCTCATTTTGCTAATTTGTGAGGTAAACTTCCTGGGACCTGAGGATGGGATTGTCTAGTCAGGGCCTGCTTCCCTTTACCTGTTTTCAGTAATGAACTTGACTGAAGAGGTGCAAGCTGGTGGCCCACGATGTGCCAGTTCTCACCAGGATTGGGATTCCTAGACTTTCCTTACAATTTGGAAGAGTGAGCAGCGCCAACCCAGGTGTCTTCAGGGCAACAATCTGTTGAAGGCAACATGCTCTCCAATTTTCTGCAGTCTCTATCCAGCCTGCTTCACTCATTAGCAATTACCTGGCTCCTAGAAGCATTTGAGTCTGCTGTCTCTGATCAGAGCAAGAATCTTACACGTAAGGAATGTCATAATAGACAAACTGTTCCTGTTATCCAGATTTCCCTAGGTTTCTGCAGGCACCAGGTTTGAAGCTGCCCCAGGTAGTAGTAAGTAGGGTCCTTGTAGAGACACCTGTATTCCCCACCCTAAGTTCTGCCCATGAGATCCTCCTCAATTCCACACTGTTTTAAGTTTATTTTTTTCTCCATTTCCCCCCTCCAGGGTACCCTTGTTAGGTTTTTAAAACCAGATTTTACTCTCTGAAAACATCAGGGGGAAAAAATTAAGCCCCACTATTTCCAAGTTTCCTAAGGGTTGGTTTGGGGAAAAATCAAAGTGAGAAAAGAAAGTTTGCCTGTTCTGTTCAATACACCCCATTCCATAGGTTAAAATGCTAGTTCTGATTCCCTTTTAGATACTTGAATCTCTAGCCACCCTCCCTACTGTTAGGTGGACTTCTGCCATCTGAAGCAGCAGATACCGCACTTAACCCTGCAAAATGTATTACTGGAGAAGATGTAGTTAGATATGCAGAAGGCACTAATTAGCACCTTTATTGGCTTAGAAAGCATTTTTTATTTTGGTTTTCCTAAGCATTTCTGACTGATTCATGGAAGACATTTGGTTCTTTGGAATATCGTCCAATAGACTAATCAAATTACATTTTTGCAGGGCTCTAAAATAATAGCATTCTGCAGCTTTCTGTAGATTTAACTCCTGCATCACCAGGACACTTAGTAGAAGTAGTCAGTGGCATTTGTTTGTCTCAGTTGGCAAATTATTAACCCATATTCTTATTTAAAAAGAAAAAAGACTCTTACATTCTGCCTGACACTCATGCTCAGAATCTGAAAACCATTTGGAATGCTTTGCTCTTTTTCATTCACATATGTTTATTTTCCAGATGCTACAGACTCTCTGACCCATTCCACTGCTGACCCCCAGTATAAAACCTGAGTTCATCATAACTTCTTCCCAATGTGTGTACCCTCTTTCCATTGCCAGGGTAATGCTGAATCTGTCATTTCTCTTCTCACTGTAGTGAGTTCAGAACTTACTACAATAGAACTGGAAAATGTGTAACATGCTTGCTTCAATTCCCCTGACACTGCACGCACAGCAGCTCTCACTAATTAAGATCACAAATCATTCATGACCTTCTTTCCAGGTGAACAAAGATATGGTGTCAAAATCCTGCTCAGTCCAGACCAAGATACAACTACCTTACCTGCCTGTTTGAACCAGAACTGAGATGACACTTCTGTGCTATCCCAGTCCTAAGACATCAAATATGATTCCCTTTTTCTGGATTTTAAGGCATTTATAATATGATCTCACCTTGTTTAACAGAAAAATTTCCACGATTGCTCCCCAGCATGAAATCATTTCTCTCGTCTGACCACCTGCACACATTTACTTTTCTTCTCATTTCTGTATCTTAATTCAAATTCCTATTGCTTCCACCAAATTAATTTTTCTTGCTTTGCCTCTTTGTTTTTTCAAAACCATATCTTCTTTTTATTGACTAGCTCAAGTCTCACTTCTTTTGAGAGGATTTCCCAACCTGACAACTTCTCCTTCATTATGTTTTACTAAGATCTTTTTGTTGAGTAGTTTCAGGGAAATCAGATAACTAAAGATGTTCCTGCCCTAGTGGGTGTTATAATTTTGCCAGTGAAACAGATTATACCTCTAATAATTTGAGGTAGCACTGGCCAAGTGCCATATGGGTAGAACCCAGAATGGATATTACTGGTGTTCAGAAGAGAGGTTAAATCTCAGTGCACAAGTCAGGAAGGGTCTTATAGAGAATATGGGACTTGGATCAGGTCTCAGAAAAGGGTAAGAGGCGAACAGAACAGGAAAGACTTGAATACAGAAGGAATTGAATGAAGAGAGTTAAACAACTAGGAATGTAATGAAAAGGGACAGGATGAGAGGGTCTTGTAGAAAAGTTGGTGTAGGTAGGTTACATTCTAATTGTAATAATCCTGGACAATCAGAGTGGCATTCTTGAAAGCAAGAGTCATATAATTTATACCTTTATACCCTTCACCTTGGACAGATCTTTGCTCTGAATGCCTTTGTTTCACATGCATTAAGGGAACAGCTATTACATTTAACTGAATCTTTTCTTATAGACCAGAAAATTTAGATTTTTATTTTATAAGTTCTTATGTAATTCCTTCTAGAAAAGATTCCTTCTGGAAAGAAATAAGTTTCCCCTTCTGGGACCTGTCTGGGGATTGGATAAGACATAACTAGCTATAAAAAAGACAAATGAATTAACCACCCATCAAGCAGTAACTGGCACCAAGCATATCTTTGACAGAAACTGTCTTTTTGCTGTAGGAGTTACTTCTTGTTTTTTCACTCACAGTTATGCTTGAATGTGTTGTTAAACAAGTGCCAATTATATAAACCTACGTGTTAAAATGTGCATTCCTTGTATGTGTTTTATCCTTGTATTATAATGACAATGCACTCTCAATTGTATTATAGTCCTCACATTATAATGACAATGCACATCTCAGTCAGATAGTACTGATGTTTAATTTGTTCTCTGGTGGTGGGAGTGAGTTCGCCAGAAACTACATACTCTCTCCAGGCTTTTTTACATACAGCTCTAATGTGGAATCTAAGATTAAGAATGAATCTGCAGTCTTGGAAGAGAGACCTTCATATTCATGACCTCTGAATGTCCTATTGCGTTCGTGTTTAAAGGAAGGTCTGTGGATCCTTATAGAGCACATACTGAGAATCAAGCCTGATTGCTTGTACCTTTGATGACCACGAAGAGGAGTTTATTTCCACCTAGTGGTGGAGATCCATGGAAAGCGAAAAAAGAAAGAAGCTGAAGGATGCCCATGAGACTTTTCCTTGTAAATTATCCTTATACCCTGAGCAGAAAATGGCCTGGAGATACTTGGAAAGAAGACTGTCAGATCACTCAGCTAAGATGCCCTACTATTTGTCAGAAGACAGGGCAGATGTGAGAGATTATCCTTTGTGACGTGTTTTAGTGAGACTCAGAATGCAAGCAGCAAGCCAACATTTTATAGTCATTGAAATTAATACCAAAGGGCCAAGGGAAGGTATCTGCCATAACTAAAGGGAGAAACCAAATAATTTATATCAGCAATTGAGCTTGGGTAAGAGATATTTTATTGGAAGTGATTTCAAAGCCCCAAAAGGAGAGGTCCCAGAGGGGAAATCCAGACTCTACCTACAGATCCAGAATGCCAGGGGAGGGCACCACATACCTCAGTACATCTCAGTCACTGGCCATTCCCATCAGCCTACACACCCTGCTGCAACAGCTCTCATTTCCTGAAGAGAAAATCTTCATTTGTCTTCAGTTCTCTGTCAGGTGACATTTCCATTGACTGCTCCTTTCACCTCACAGCTCCTCAAAGTAGTTTCCTGTTTCTACTTCCTCTATCCTCATTTCCGTTTGAAAGCTGTACAATCAGCCCTTCTCCCCCACCATTCCACTGAAATAGGTCTTCTTACGGTCACTTCCATTGTCAGAGCTGGACGGCCAGCTGTCATTTCTCTGAATATATAACCCATTAACAACAGCTGATAGGGTTGATTACCCCCCCCTTGATACACTGACTTTACTTGCCTTTCAGACACTTCTTTCTTGGTTCTCTTTTTTACCTCATGACCTACTTCTTCTACTCTTTTGCTGGTTCTTCTTAATTTCCTGGCTTCTTCTTAGTCTGTACTCACTTGCTTAGTATTCTGGTTTTAAACACCATTTGCATGCCAACTAGTCCCAAATGTATACATCTATTCCGGGATCTTACCCCTGAACTAGAGATTTGTATTTCCAACTACCCACTCAATATTACCTTCTTGGATATTTATTTAGCATTTGCATCACAACATGCCTAAAATTGATGTTTCCATCTCTTACTCCAGGCCTGATCCTTCCATTGTTTTTCCCATTCCAATAAATGGCCAACCATCCTCTCAAATGCTTGGGCAAAATTTATTGCAGTCATTTTTGACTTCTCTCTTTCTTTTAGATCCTTCATCCAATCCACCAGTATATCCTGTCCTGTTTATATTTCAAACATATCCAGAATCCAGCATTTCTTTTTACAACAACTGCTACTTCTCTGGCATAAGCCCCCATCCTCTCTCCTCTGAATTATTTTATTAGCCTCCTAACTGGGTTCTCTGCTTCTATCCTCTTCAACCTCCTCCTCCCATAGGAGGAATAGCAGTGGAATCAACCTGTTCTGTTAAAAAGAACCAAGATAATACCACTTCTTTGTATAAAACACTTTTTAAAAGATTCATTTTCACACTGAGCCAAAATTAAAAAGTCAAAATACTTACAGAGATATATATGACCCTAAATTATTCTGCTTCTGCGTAATTCTTTATATCCTTAGTCCTCTACTTTCATCTTTTTCACTTAACTGCAAACATTCAGGCCTCCTTGCTATTCCTCGAATACAGAGAGCATGTTCCTACCCCATGGCCTTTGCACATGCTGTCTCATCTGCCTGAAACAGCTTATCCCCAGTTAACAAATGTCCCTCTCCTTCACATCTTTCAGGTAGCTGCTGAAAGTTAACCTTACTTGAGGTGCCTTCCTTGATCATCTATTGTACTGACATATTTCTTTGTTTGGTACTGACATATTTTACATTTATTTGTTTATTGTTTCTCTCATCATTGCATCTATTTTCTTCAGTATCTCCAGTCCTGAAGGAATGCTTAGTTTGTAGGAAGCATTTACTATATATTTGCTGAATACTGAAGAAAGGAATAAAATGGGATCTAAATTTTGTGTGCCTATGGGCAAAAAAAAAATAGAGTTGATATCATGGTTGTTCTCCAGCCTAAGTCTGAGGTTCAAGGACTCAAGGAGAGACAAGGGTTGCAGGAAGAAACTGAAAGATTATTTCCATCATAGGCTTTATGTGACACAGAATACTAGTAATGCTGCCTAGATTCCCAGGTGATAGAATCATGCAGTATAATGGAAATGAATCTTTCTACAAATTCTGAGTAAAAGAAAAAAATAAAAGGAGCACAATAAACACTCAAAGACAAATAACGGTGGTGCCCAGAGGAGCAGAAGAATATTATGCTCAAGAAGTGTTGAGAAGATTTGTCTATATGATACCAAAAGAATTCTACTAGAGTAGTAGCAGTGTCAGTGAAGGGGACCAATTCATGGAAATGTATGAGACATCCAATGACTCTCAGTAATATTTATGCATATATTTTGTACGTAGACCCTGTGTCACCAAGAAGGGGGCAATAACCCATCAAAATTGGGGTACTGATTTTATTAGGCCCTAATTGCTGCCCACAGACTGGTAAGATCCAAGGAAAATTCTGGGTATAGGATTTATTTATAGCTTAATTTTTAGGATAGCTTTGAAACGGTTTCTTATTTTTAGAACTGTTTTTAATTAGTAATTTTTCTTCGAATTAAAATCTACTCTATGTACCTCTAGGTCTAACTGGAGTACATTTTAGAGAGGTGTATACACATCAAAACCTTATATTTAGGAAATGCTTTTTTCTGTCACCCAAGATTGGCTCACTGAAGTGAGAAAAAGTAGGCTGGGCATGATGGCTCATGCCTATAATCTCAGCACTTTGGGAGACTGAGGCAACATAGCGAGACCTCTTATCTACAAAAATTAAAAAAATAGCTGAGCATGGTGATGCATGCCTGTAATCCCAGCTACTTGGGAGACTGAAGAAGGAGGATTGCTTGAGCCCAGGAGGTTGAGGCTGTGGTGAATCGTGATCGTGCCACTATACTCCAGCCTGGGTAACAGAATGAGACCCTGTCAATAAATAGGTAAATAAATTAATAGAGAGAGAAGGTAGTTTCTGGTAGAAAGAGCATGAACTTTGAAACAAGCAGACTAGAATTCACATCATGTCTCCATCTCTTATTGACTCTGTGGTTTTAGGCAAATTTTATAGCCTTTCTGAAAAGTATTTGTTTCTTCGATGTTTAATGAGGTTAATAATCCTGCTGTTTTGTTTGAGGTGTACTTGGCAACAGTTTCTAAATATGTAATGAGCACTTGATAAATGATAATTGCTAATTACTGTAATTATATTATCATTTTTAAGTCTGAAATGTATGGCGATGAGAAATATACAAAAGTCAGAAACAGCCTCAGAAAGACACAACAACCAGAGAACTTTCCAATTAAGCATCAATTTCTCAGTCATGTCATTTTAAAAATAATCTAATTTTTTTAATTTAAAAATTTTAAATGTGCAATGAACACTTGATAAATGATAACAATTATGAGCCTCAGAATGAATTCCACTTATGGTTAGTTGACTAGTGACCCCCAGATTTCATTTCTACCTGGAACCTCAGAACGTGTCCTTATTTGGAAAGAGTCTTTGTGGAT